GTAAGCACATATTTTTGTTCTCTCCTAGCTCCTTTCCCCATACCTTGTTTCTTTCCAACCCAGAAATTGACCAATGTGAAGGATGGCATGTCAAGGGCCTTTCCTACCCCTCAGCAAAGCATTTTTTTCTGATAGGTCCTTCTCCACATCTTGCCACACTTGTTTTTCAATGTTTGAACATCACACTTGAATATTGATCCAAAAATTAAGCAATCCCATTTTGAAGAGGACTTCATCAATAATAAACTTATTTTTTATCGTTAAACTTAAATAGGGGAAATTTAAAAGCGGATTCAGAACCATTACGTAATTGTTTCATGGTTTATTTACTTTCTACAATTGAATGACATCTCCAAATTGATGATTGGAAGTTTATAGGTATTTAGGAAAACTCTCTTCATCAGAGTCATCCTTGCCTCCATCTAATTAGGAAATGTGTGTGGTCCATTGCATTAAATATATCTCTAGTGAAGGGGATAGCTTTAATTTGATACATCACAAACATAAAATGACTATAATTGCTCCATTTATTCTTTTTAAAAATTTTTTTGTTCATTTATTCACATGTGCATGCATTGTTTGGGTCATTTCTCCACCCTGCCCCCCTCTCCCACCTTTCCTCCCCTTTCAGTTTCAGGCAGGTCCCGTTCTGCCCTTATCACTGATTTTGTTGAAGAAAAGACACAGCATAATAAGAAAGACAAAGCATTTTTGCTAGTTGAGTTAAAGACAGCTATACAGAAAGTTTCCTAGCATTGCTTTCATGTACCCATGTGTTACGACCCATGTTGATTCAACTCTAACTGATCTTTATATTGGTTCCTGATCCCCTGCTCATGATAACCTGTCGTTTTAAGGTTTCTGTATTAATTCCTCTGGAGTGGGGACATCAAACGCTTTCATGTTTTGGGTTTTCTACCTATTCCTATATCTCCCGTATGTGTTCTCCCCTTGTCATGTGATCCAAGTCCAACCACATTGCTGCATTTGCCCTAGATCTAAAGTCCGCATATGAGGGAGAACATTTCTTCCTTCCCCATTTTTGTAATAGTCTGAGCAGATCTTACAGCTTTCTATTTAATCTCTGGATTTAAAAGCCCATTCTAACTGAGATTAAAACTTTAAAAGCACATCTTATTTAACATTCTCATTTTCCTGCTCTAATGCCATCCAGGCTAGGTCTTACAGTCTGATTTTTCATTCCTTTCTCCCTTCTGTTTTTCTTCCTGTAGCCCCAGTCACTCTCTAGGATAGAGCAGAAATGAAAGAAAGTGAATCTTGATAGTGGGACAAAAGTTTCTATCCTGCCAAGAAGTGCTGTAGGTTTGAGGTGCAATAGCTTCTATATGACAGCCATAAAAATGTAGGCTCTGTGAGAGGTTCATATGTGACTTTTCCCCTTCCTTTTGCACCTTTGAGGTGCAAAAACAGACTTTTGCACCTGGAGTCAATCTGTTCAGAGTACCACTCCACTGAAAAAAGCACCAGTAAGATTAATTCAAGCTTAATTCCCTGTTTAGGTTTCCTTATTCAGTAATTTTTGCTGACCTGCTGTATTCATTTTGAGCAGAGAGAAGGTAGAATCTCAGAGATTGGTGGAAGGAAAAGTGGATTGACAGGAGGGAAAGCCTAGGTAGTCACTACCTAGTTGTTAAAGATGCATGAGTTCCACATGGCTTACAGAACACATGCAAGGCATTCAGGCTTGGTCCTTCCTGCAAGGTACACCAAATGTCTGCGACAGATCACATGGGATCTGAGGAAGATGTGGAAAGGATTCAAATCAGAATAAACTAAGCTTCAGGTAGCTGGGGAGAAGGGAGCCTGCTACAGGGATTACTGAAGAATTCAAGTTCACACTGTATGAGACTGGCTGGATTTGGACACTCAGTATACAGAGGTCATGCCCACCAAGTGAAGATTACAAGCAGATAAAATTTGGTATAAAATTCTTTGGCTGGTTTTTTTTCCTCTACTTTCTCTTTTGTCCCTATGGAATGAAGCAGAAAAGATGAATGAAAAAACAGGCATTTCCTTTCCCTAAAAGCAGACCTTTGAGATTTATCTGCCTCCTGAGGGTGGGGAGGACAAGGATATTCAAGTAGGTATGAATTGAAGTCTTTAACTTCAGACCTCTAAAATTGAAATTTTCAACACTCACAGTGTTAGGACAAGAATGAGTCATGTTTGAGGGGTGCCTAGGGAATGAACACAGAAGACACAAGTTGGAGGCTGTGATTGAAGAAACAATGATTTCTTACTGCTTCTCTTTCTATTGGAAGTATTCCATAAGCAGGTAACACTTATTTGTAACATATGCTTGTCAAACTCAACTGGGCTGTGTAGTAAATCAGTGGCTTCAGTAACACACTAACTTGTTGAACTGCTTACATTATTATTCAGACAAATTGAAAGCCTACAATCAATGCCCACTGCTCTTCATTTACAGTTTAACACCTTGACCTGGACTTGTGTTTGGTTATCTCAACCTTCTACTCCACAGAGACAGGTACACAACATTTCTCCCACTTCCTCTCATTAACAGTCTTCTGAGTTCACACACTGCCTTGACCACAGGGTGTCATTATCACATCTTTCTCTTACCTGGGTTATAATGAGGAATGTTTCACGTTCTTAGTCACTGGGGAAATGATGTACTTAGTGAACTTTTCTTTTAAGGATGTCTTTGAGGGGTTCAAAAACTGTGAACTAAAGACCAACTGTAGAAATTACACTGAAAACTTTAGCTGATGCAAGAACCAAAAGTTTGCTGCAAATCCTGTCCTGAGTGTTAGACTCATAAACCCCTGGGAAACAGGAATTCAGCCAATCTTGATATGAATCTTGATCTCTACTGAAGATGGTTTTATGAATAACATTACAAGAGTCGAATGTCAAGTATTGTAGAGGCTTGGGAAGAGCCTCCAACTATATCTCACCCCAGCACTGGGTGAGGTGCTGTTTATTGACTAAGCCCAAATAAGAAAGAAATTAACCTGGATTCCACTGTTGAGCTCAGATGATATAATAAAAATACAGAATAGTTAAAATTCTACAAATATTAAAGCAGCATTTTGTCTGTCTTATTTTTAAGGAGTCCTTTGCATGGATCTGCCTGTTATTGTGCTTACTGTACTACCACAGGTGTTATCTTTCATATTTATAGCGTTTACTACCATTTGCACTCATATATCCATGTTTCTACTTATTTGTTTCAGGTTTCTGTCTCTCTCAAGACCTTGGGTTTAAGAGCATACAGATCAAAGGCCTTTGGTTCATTATACCCAGTTATGGTCATTCACTAAATATGTTTCAGGAGATTGGTTAATTAATGAATAAATTTCAGAACTCAAATGTTAATAGCCTGGAGATTAAGAAATCTTGGCAAAGGGTTTTGCTTACATAAGCAATTGACATCTTTTCATAAAATCAGACACTCAGAACATAATAGGAGGAATCTTAAAGAATATTTGGTTAAGAATGTTGGTCTTATTGATTAGTGATTTGATGGCCAGTTGGATTAATAGCAACATCTCCAACTCTACAATGTGCAGAGTAAGTTCACAAATACTGAAGACCATGGTCCTGCACCATTTAGAGTCCAAAACTTCTATTCAGGGAGGACAAAGAAGTCTTTTCCTTGTTCTACAGTGTGTCACCATTGCAGGTTTGGGAGTATGACCAAGGAATCTACCTCCATGTTCCTACTTTCTGATAATTCTTCATGCTGTTTTGGCTTTTTTTAAACATCGGGGACAGAAAGGCAATCACCAGGAATGAATGTGTAGTCAGTGTTCACTGTCCAAGTGTCACATGGATCAAGAGATATGGTAGATGGACTCCCAGTGACAATGTCTTGAGACATTACCCTTCCTCCAGCACCTCAGAAATTCTGGTGCCTCTAAATATCTTGTAGTTCTTTTACACTTCTGTGTGATACAGCTTATAATATCAAGTGTTTCCCACTTCATGTCATCTGATCTGCTTATTACAGCCATGGCAGATGATGAAACAACTTTCTTTTTCAGTGCTATGGATCACACCCAGAGCCTTGCACATGCTAGGCCAACTCTCTACCCCTGAACTAGATCCCCAGCTCTTGTTTTTCTGAGACAGGTTCTCACTATGTAGCCCAGGCTGACCTTGAACTCACTATGTGGCCATGGTTGGCCTCAAAGTCATAATTCTCCTTCCACCACCTCTCCAGTGCTGGGATTATGGAAGTGCATTATCATGCCTGGTGCCTGAAATGATTCTCAATAGGCTAGAAGTAAACAAGAGTACCTGTAAAGTTTGTTCCCTGTTACATCTTTGTAACAAAAACTTAGTAAGTTGGCTAAGTCATGAGTTGGAACAGGGTGGGTGATTCAAGTCTATACATGAAGGAAAAAGAATTCTGTGGCCTGAAATGCTTAATGGTAATTGGATTTAACACAGAATAAAGACTTGTTTTGTAGACTACATTTCCTAATCATCCCTGTGCAAAGAATCTTACCAGTTCACACCTTATACTATGGGGATTTCATCCTGGGATTTGCCCCATTGATGGCATCTATTTACATAGAAGGGAGACATCATTTAGCTAGTAATTTAGGACATACAACACAGAAGTAAATCTAGACGAGGCAATCTATCAACCCCACAACTGTCCCCCACATTTACTGACTGCTGCTCAGTGGAACATTAGAGGTAAAAATAAAACACAAAACATTTATGACCAAAAGAAATTTTACAAAATTAAGGAAATGAGGCATTTTTTACTTGAAATCAATTACCAGTAATTTTGTACAATATAGGTTTTGTTGGATTCTTTTTTCTAGGAAATTTTTGTAACTTATCATCAAAATGGGCAATTGAAAAATTGTATTAGAGATTATTTCTGATAATATCCTCTCTCTTGCTAGATTGATGTGAACTTCTTCCCCCAGCAGTCTAGAAAATTAGACTCCTACAGTCTTGAAAATCAAGGGCAAACTTCTGCACCTTCAAGCAACCTCACCATGAACAGCAACTCATCCCCATCTGCAGCCCTGCAGCTCTGCTATGAGAATGTAAATGGGTCCTGTGTGAAAACTCCCTACTCCCCTGGGTCCCGGGTGATCCTGTATACAGTGTTTGGCTTTGGGGCTGTGCTGGCTGTGTTTGGGAACCTCCTGGTAATGACCTCCATCCTCCATTTCAAGCAACTGCATTCTCCCACCAATTTCCTCATAGCCTCTCTGGCCTGTGCTGACTTCTGTGTGGGAGTGGCTGTGATGCCCTTCAGCATGGTCAGGTCTGTGGAGAGCTGCTGGTACTTTGGGAGAAGTTTCTGCACTTTCCATACATGCTGTGATGTGGCATTTTGCTACTCTTCTCTCTTCCACCTGTGCTTCATCTCTATCGACAGGTATATTGCTGTCACTGATCCTCTGGTCTATCCCACCAAGTTCACAGTGTCTATGTCAGGAATTTGCATTGGCATCTCCTGGGTCCTGCCTCTGGTATACAGTGGTTCTGTGTTCTACACAGGTGTCTATGAAGATGGGCTGGAGGAATTATCCAATGCCCTCAACTGTGTAGGAGGTTGTCAGGTAGTTGTAAATCAAAACTGGGTATTGATAGATTTTCTATCCTTCTTTATACCTACTCTTGTTATGATAATTCTGTACAGTAACATTTTTCTTGTGGCTAGACAGCAAGCTAAGAAGATTGAAAATACTGGTGGCAAAACCGAATCACCTTCAGAGAGTTACAAAGCCAGGGTGGCCAAAAGAGAGAGAAAAGCAGCTAAGACCCTGGGGATCACTGTGGTAGCATTTATGGTCTCATGGCTACCATACAGTATTGATTCACTGATTGATGCTTTTATGGGATTTATCACTCCTGCCTATATTTATGAGATTTGTGTTTGGTGTGCTTATTATAACTCAGCCATGAATCCTTTGATTTATGCTTTGTTTTATCCATGGTTTAAGAAGGCTCTTAAAGTTATTATGAGTGGTCAGGTTTTTAAGAATAGTTCAGCAACCATGAATTTGTTCTCTGAACAAATGTAAGCAAGAATTTTTTAACATTTCTAAATGAGGATATTTTTAACATTTCCAAGTGAAGTAAGTTTTTTTTAAATATCACAATGAAGAGTGAATAAATTGCTCTTCAAATTACACAGGACAAATCAATGTTTCCAATCTTGTTAAGGTGTGCACTTCACTTTCTTTCACTTCAAAAATATTATCTTAACTAATAAATATTAAATTCCAATTTGTTAATTGCTTCAGAGCTCAATGTACCCCACTCCCAGCAGACACTTCCTTCCCTCTCTTCTCTCTATTAACCCATTAATTCTCCCTTTCTTCTGGTATGTTCACTGAAAATATTTTTGTTCTTCAATTCCTACATAGCTTTTTTACTTGATTCTACCCTGCTAAAAATTTCATGTGTGCATAGTCTTCATTGGGTGTTTGTTTTCTTCTATTCTTTTAACAATATTTTACCAAAGGAGTCTCTTGGGTAGCAGTTTACTCTATGCAGTCTCGTGTGAGATCTTGAGGAAGGAGGGTGGCAATTTTGCAAATGTTGACAACATGTGGACCAGGATTTATAATTGTCAAGGGAGTTACTACTTTCCTCCCATGTCATTTCTTCTTCCAAAGTAGTAGGCAGAAGCTGCTATACTTCTCAGAGTGATGTCTGGGTGATTCTTTGACAGCTATTCTTGCTACTTCTGGGAACTGTGCCTGCTGATATGGATAGCACCCTTTGTGACACTGCTCTATTGAGGCACAATGAATACTACTTGCTCATTTAGGGAGAATCTTTTCTAAGTGGAATCTCTAGTTTTCAATCTTTTCTATAATAATGCTTAATTATAAGTAATTTGCAAGTTTTATGAGCATGTGGAATATAAATCAATGTTAAGCAGTCAGGAATCACATTGTGCTGAACTCAGTACCCAATGCCATGACACAGGTAATAACGTTTTTCATTTTTCTTTAATATGCTGTGGCTGTGGCAATGTTGGTCATTGTGGAAGTTTTTTGAAAGGACAAACAACTACCTCAAGCAGGTGACTGAGATTAAAATCAAGAGTGATAATTCATGTTGGTAGCATGTTTCCCTGACATTATGGGATGAGAATGACCTTTTATCTCTCTGAACTTCCTTCCCCAAATTTATAAACCTAGAATATTCATGAGAAAAATATCAAATCCTTACAACTAAGGACTATACAAAATTTCTGACCAATACTCATTAAAATTGTTAAGGTCATAAATGATGAGAGTATGGCCAAATTGCAGTGCACACACCGGTAATCCCAGTACTTGGGAGGCTGAGGCAGGAGGATTACAAGTTCAAGACCAACTTGGGTTACCTATTGAGATCTTGCCTCAAATAAATAAATAAATAAATAATAAAACAAAAGGAAAAATAGAGTATGAGAAACTATCAGAGTTCAAAGGAACCTGAGGAGCTGTGTCAACTAAATGTATTATGGTGTCCTAAATAGGAAATTGTAGCAGAAAAGGGACACTAAGGAAAATGAGGCAATCTGAATAAGGAGTGCACTTGTATTGAAACATTAATAATGAGGTATGAATATTAGTTTGTTAATTGTTATAAATGCACCATAGTAATTAAGATGATAGTAACAACAGAAAGTGGTATTAGGGCACATAACAATTCTCTGTATTGTCTTTGCAACTTTTCTGTAAATCCAAAACTATTTTAAAATTCTAAAAAGTGCTTCATAATTCCTATTTTGGTGAAGTTTCCAATTTATCTGTGTGAGGACAATAGGTATTTTTCCTTAACCTTGTTCATTTATCCACACTCAAATATTTTTGAAGACTTACTGTGTGCTAAGTTCTGGGTTTAGTGTGATAAGGGACTGAAAACAAAGAATTTAGAATGTCTCGTGGGGAAAACCAAGATATCAGTAATTATGTCATAATTCATGGGAATTTAAACTACAAAAGATGTGTTTGAAGAGTGTCCGGGAAGGGAAAATTCACATCTGGATGGAAAATCAAGAGACATATTAAAGAAGAAGTGAGCTGGGTTTGCTGGGTATGGTGGCACATGACCATAATCCCAGCAACTGGAATGCTGAGGCAGCAGGATCATGAATTTGAAGCCAATCTCAGCCACAAAGTAAGCTCCAGGCCAGTCTCAATTACATGAAAAACCTCTATTATGAAAAAAAGAAGAAGGAGGAGGAGGAGGAAGAACAGCAGAAGAAGAGGAGAAGAAGGGGCATGTAAGTTGGGCCTAAATTATAAAAAAGGTTTTTGAAGAAGGGAAAAGATAGGAATGACATAGCATTCATTGTCATGAGCAAGGAAACAGAGATTGTGCAGAATGCTCAGGAAATACGGAGATAAAACAACAACACCACCAGAGGAGTAGCCACCTTTTAAAAGCTTCCGAGGTTGGCATCCAAATCCCTCCACTCCACCTGCCCCTCCTCTCTTTGAGCATTCTTCATTGGAATTTGAAGAAATGCTTCCTTCCTTTCTTCTACTCAGGTTTACTCCTATAACTCTCATTGTCTTCTAGGTCACATTTCCCAAGTTGAACTTGTACAGCACAGTGCTCTAAGGCAAAGTTTCCATATCAACCATGTTTTAGAACCACTACTTCCTCATCCTGTCCTTAGAGAGTACCATTTTACATTATTGTATTAAAAACTCTGAGCGTTCCTGTTTTAACAGAAACCTGTCCAACCTTGTTTAAATAAGCATCACAAAAATGTACTTAATCATTACCATTGAGACTTCTGTGGGGTCTCATAACAAAACTGAGGGCTGAATAACAAAACTATTGTCCAAAGGAAACATTTGGAAAACTTGGTCTATATCATTGATTTGGTACTTATCAAATATATTCTTTATTTCATATTGGTATTTTATTCTTTTTACATATAAAGTACTCAGTTCAATCTATATTTCTAAAAGGAAGATGGTTTTCCAACCCATGGCATAATAATGAGTAAGTAAAAATGGCCTTTGTTATCAATTATGATATATATAGGTAAAGTACATATTACATAACATGTGATCATGATGTGACATTGGGTGAGGAAGAGGATGCTGTGCACTGAAGATTCTGGGAAGGTTTGCTGGGTAACTCAGAATATAACCTGAGTATGGATCAATTGTTTAAACAGAAAACAGTAGAAAGAGAAATTCTAATCAGAGTACAAATTTCAAGAAATATATAGTTTGTCAAACATCAAACAATGAAGCATACAAAAAGAATAATTAAAAGACCAGACTACCTAAAGCAGAGCATTTTGGTAGAAGAGGCACAACTGATCAATTAATCAAGCTATTGTTTTGACCCTATGACTATACTATCCAATATGGCAGCCATTAGCAACATTGATTCCTGAGTACTTGAAATATGTCTAGCCTGAATTGAGGTGTGCTATAAGTACAAAATAACATTAGATTACAAAAACTTAGTGCAAAGAAAAGAATGTAAGATTTCTTGTTAGTTTTTATATTAACTACATGTTGAAATTATCAGTGTTTTAATATATTGGGTTAAATAAAATAAATAGTTTAAAATAACTTTGCCTTTTTTTCTCCTTACTTTTTCAAATTTTGTTACCAGAAAAACTTCAAACTACATAGGTGGCTCATATGACATTTCCATTGGACAGCACTGCTCTACAAAAAATTTAAATGAACCATAAGACTTGATTCTAACACTCTAGTGTTTTAAAATTAGAATTCTAACCCTCAAGAGCATAAACATCAACAATTAAGTTAAAATACATAAACCATGGTAAAAGTTAGATAAGATTTATTCAGCAACTGATGTGCAAAAATACATACAGAACTCATATTGATCCTATATTCTGTACAGTTTACAAAGAAACAAAGTAATCTGCAAGAAATTATATAGCTAGCATTAAACTCTACTGTGCATTGAACTCAAGTCATCTCAATTCTAAGTCCAAATTCATGTCTCTAAGTAGAAATGAGAATTTAGGACAAACAAGAAGGAGTATCACAAAGAAGTGCAATTAAATAAATTGTACCCACAGAAGACACTTAAAGTTTATCCTGAAGTCAGTGATTCTTGATAATTTTTAGGTCATGGTCATTTTGAAAATATGCTGAAATCTGTGTATCGCTCCCCAGATAAAATGCAGGGGATCACTATTCACACTATTTAGCATGCCATTTTGGGAGTTTCCATGCCCTGAGGGCTGTAACTGGATAGGTCATGGACACAGTGCCTTCCAGTTAGTTACAGGCTAGATTTGGCTGAGATTTAAAAAAAAAAAAAATCAGCCAACTCTACTGCTTGACACAAGAAAAGTTTATTTCTTGTTCACATGAAAGTTCACCACGAGTCTGGAACACTGCTCTGGGCAGCTGTCTTCAACATCAGTGACTCTGAAGCAGACTGGTTTAATTTCATGGGTCTCTCTTTTCAAAGACCTTTTTCGTGCTTCAGCCTGAAGAGGCATCCTATTAGCCAGAAACCAAGTAGACAGCTCCGCCTAGTGACCTGGAAAAGTAGGGGAGCAAGTGCAATGATGGCAGTAGCACAATGCTTCAGTGAATGGTTCAGTGAATGGAATGTCACGCTGTGTTAAGGGTACCTCTCAGGTAGGGTTTACTTCATTTAAGTAATAGTGATGGTGTCCTCTTAAAGTTCTCTCTCAGTATTATTCATTTATTTTTTTCAGCCAATGAGTATTAGATATATGTGATGTAGAAAACACTGTATTAGTGATGCTGAACACAGAGTGAGTGGGGCCCAGTCATTTCCATAGTTTCCAATATTACCAAAATGTTATGCTGGCTAACTTAACCAGGCAGTCTCATCTCAGTACAAAGATCAATTGAGATATTGCTGGAGCTCACACAGGAGTCAGCACCAGTAACAGAATCACAAAGATTTGCAATGGCCTAGTCATTCAGAGTCAAACTGCAGTGCCTGAGCAATCAGCAGAAACATGCAAAGTCAACCAAAGTCAAACCAAGAATAATTAAAGTCTCACTTTAATTTACAAGGGTATGGGGGCAGGGAATACTGTGAG